TTTAAGGATTCTAATGACTATATTTGGCCGTGTCCCCCGAGCTCTGGTCATGGCAGCCCCAGGTCATCAGACTCTAGGGATATATGGAAACTCAGGGTCCTGTCCCAGTGACCCAAGGAACTCACTTTCTCCTCCTGTGGCAGTTCAGATCAGTGGAAACAGTTTAGAGCCAAGCTTCCTGGTCTCCAGGCTAGGATACACTGCCAGGCCTGCCTGTGAGCCCAGGAAGGGGTGAGCTGACACGGTTTATGTGGGAGGAGCTATTCTGGGACGGGTGATGGAACAGACAGGAGTGTTTTGTGACTACTGATCCATGCTGCCATGTGCATGTTCTTTGCGTACAGCTGTCTGTCGGCACACCTTGTGCAGCATTGATATACATCGAAATACATCCCCGTGGTCTCCTGGGCTACTCCCCAGAGGGCTCTCCCGAGATGGACATGTCCATGAGCACTGTATAGAGCAGGAGAACTTTGCTATAGGTTGTTTGGGACCATTCTATGGAATTCTTCTCCTGCTACAGGGTGGGTTAAATAACCTAGAGACGAGATCTCGTTCTTTATTGCATTCTGTAGGTGTTAGAGCAATGTCTGTGGAGCCTGTTAAATTCTTTTACCCAATGGCAATTTCCTGCTGGTTTGTTCTTCTCACCACTAATCATTGAGTGAGAGTCTGTTCCCCCACACTCTATTGGCCTGCGTTTCCTAGCAGGACCAGAGCTGTGGGAGTGGGACATCCCAATAGGTACGGTAACATGCTTTTGATAGAATAGGTGCCAATTCAAGGACACAGTCATTATCTACATGGTCTCCCACAATGCGCACATGGGAGGACTGTGTAGCCCACAGAACAATCCATATGTTCTACTACATGGACTCCTGCTCTAGCATAGCCTGTCACAGACACTGTCTCACATGCCTGCCACAGAAGCCATCTTGAGTGTAGACACACACACACACACCCCACCATGGCCCTGAAACAGGAACCGTCCAATACACATGTCCTGGCTCCATCAGAGACATTGACCAAGATCCCCTGGTCTGCTCCGGGGACTTTATGCATCCTAGTGATGACAAGCAGCCGCATGGATCTGGCCGAATGTCTGACCTGTGTCACAGCCAAGACACCATCGCACATTCACACCAGCTCTGGCCCAGTGCTGTGTTTCGTATGGAGCATGTATAAACAGGGGTAATTTAGCATAATTTTCCCCTTGACTACATCTAAAATAAATGTGACTCATCGCCACAGGTAATTAACATTTCTTTACAACATTAAATTCTAAATGATTACAACTCCTGCTCAATGAAAATTTGTCATGCTTTGTGTTCCCATTTTTCCTGGCCAGCTGTCTCTCCAGAGCTGATAAATGGGAGCAGCATGCAGTGACAAATTGGCTCTGACTTCACCACCCCTAATTTGGGGGATCAGCTCCGACTCCTTGGTCAGAAAGCACAAATCCAGAAGATGAGCAACCTCACTAACGCTGCCCGCACGAGCCCTGCCAGCTCGGGACATGAGTGAGTGCATCTCCCACAGCTGGGGAGTGGAGCTGGGAGGAAGGTGCATACTGGCCCTCTGCATTGTGCAAACCGGCACAGAGAGGTGAAGGCCAAAGGCCAGACATAGGTGCCTGGAGCAGCATGGCCAGGCCCCGATGTTCAGAAATCATGAGTCAAAACCCACAGGATTGGCTCAAGGCTCACAAGATTTCCAAAGAGAAGAACTGTTGGTGCTTTGCCTTCTGGGGAGGGAGGGGGGGCGTGCACAGGTCATGCTTTCCGGCTTCTCCCTATCACCAGGAGGGCTGGAAACGTTCTTTTGTGAAATGAAAGCTCAGTTTCTCATGCGCTGCCATGTTTTAAGGAAAACAACAGATGTCACCAGACTCATGATGAGATTGCCAGAGTTGGCAACGTTGCCCAAGCCAAGCCCCGCAGTCTTGTAACTGATGTGCCTCAAGCCTGGCTCTGTGGATGAGGGGAAAGCGGTGGATGTGATATATATTGACTTTAGCAAAGCTTTTGATACGGTCTCCCACAGTATTCTTGCCAGCAAGTTAAAGAAGTATGGATTGGATGCATGGACTATAAGGTGGATAGAAAGCTGGCTAGATTGTTGGGCTCAATGGGTAGTGACCAACAGCTCAATGTCTAGTTGGCAGCCGGTATCATGTGGAGTGTCCCAGGGGTTGGTCCTGGGACTGGTTTTGTTCAACATCTTCATCAATGATGTGGATGATGGGATTAATTGCACCCTCAGCAAGTTCGCAGATGACTCTAAACTGGGCGGAGAGGTAGATACGCTGGCGGGTAGAGGTAGGGTCCACAGTGACCTAGACAAATTGGAGGATTGGGTAAAAGAAATCTGATGAGGTTCAACAAGGACAAGTGCAGAGTCCTGCACTCAGGATGGAAGAATCCCATGCACTGCTACAGGTGGAGACCGACTGGCTAAGCAGCAGTTCTGCAGAAAAGGACCTAGGGGTCACAGTGGATGAGAAGCTGGCTATGAGTCAACAGTGTGCCCTTGTTGACAAGAAGGCTAATGGGACATTGTGACAAAGTGGGAATGTTTCCTCTGAATATTGTGTGGGTGCCTCAGTTTCCCCTATGCATTTCTTAAGTTTCTAGGGGGTGCGATTGTTGCAGAGCAAAGGGCCAGTGTGCATAAATGGCTGGCACTCTGTCTCCTGGCGGCTAATGGCTGGGGCCCGTCCCCCCTGCAAGATGATAGCTAAAGGTGTTGGAGAACAACGAGATCAGGTGACCTCCTGGCCCGGGAAAGGAACAAAGCAGAGGAGGAGGGGCTGGAGTGGGTTTTCAGTTTGGGGCTGGCTGGGAAATGGAGGGGAGCCCAGACAGGGCTCTGGCCTCCCTGGGGCCCCCCAAGATGGACCTGACTGGGGGGATCCTGTTGTCTGTACCGGCAAGAGCTGTCTTGGACTGTGTTCCTGTCGTCTAAATAAACCTTCTGTTTTACTGCCTGGCTGAGAGTCACGGTGAATCGCAGGAAGCTAGGGGTGCAGGGCCTTGTCTCCCCCACACAGACATATTGGGCTGCATTAGTAGGGGCATTGCCAGCAGATTGTGATTATTCCCCTCTAGTCGGCACCGGTGAGGCCACTCCTGGAGTAGTGTCCAGTTTTGTTCCCCACACTACAGAAGGGATGTGGACAAATTGGAGCGAGTCCAGCGGAGGGCAACGAAAATGATTCGGGGGCTGGGGCACGTGACTTACGAGGAGAGGCTGAGGGAATTGGGCTTATTTAGTCTGCAGAAGAGAAGAATGGGGGGGGGGGATTTGATAGCTTCCTTCAACTACCTGAAGGGGGTTCCAAAGAGGATGGAGCTCAGCTGTTCTCAGTGGTGGCAGATGACAGAACAAGGAGCAACGGTCTCAAGTTGCAGTGAGGGAGGTCTAGGTTGGATATTAGGAAACACTTTTTCACTAGGAGGGTGGTGAAGCACTGGAATGGGTTACCTAGGGAGGTGGTAGAATCTCCTTCCTTATTGGTTTTTAAGGCCCGGCCTGACAAAGCCCTGGCTGGGATGATTTAGTTGGGGATTGGTCCTGCTTTGAGCAGGGGGTTGGACTAGATACCTCCTGAGGTCTCTTCCAACCCTAATCTTCTATGATTGATTCTAAGCCGGGCACCCAAAAATGAAGGCATTCAAATTAGGGTCTGAGTAACTTGCTTCGGGTCACACGGGGTATCTGGCGGAGCTGGGATAAGACCCTAATTCTCCTAGCCAGAGCTCTCATTGTGCTACCTGGCAGGCTTCATAGCACATTGAAGCTCAGTCAGGCGCGCTGTCCCATACTCGTCCGGGTAGGGAGCAGCAGCTGAGGCAGGGCGGGGTATGGTGGAGGGGGAGGGGGAAGACCCTTCTCCGGCAGCTTTGGGCCCCTGCTGCCATCTTCATGTTTCTAAGGAGTTGCTCAGGAGAAGCTGACCGTAGCTTTGGGAAGAGGGAGAGCTGCTGGAAGGACACGCTTTGCAGAAGGAGGGAAGGGACTAGAACTGGCCCATAGCTACTGTGCTCTTCTGCTCCCTCCTTCCCTCTCCCCGCCTCACCTGTTACCCCAAAACTACTGTCAGCTTCTCCTGGGCAATTCTGCTCCTTCCCACACCAGCTTGTCTGCCCTTGGTGAGGAGGAGAAGCCAAAGCTCCCAGCTGTCCCTCCGCCTTGCCTTGCAGTGCCAACACAGCCCAGGGCATACAACTCAGCTGCATCCCGCTGAAAATATTGTTCTGCATTTAATCAACAAGGATTGGCCCATCTCCATTGCCAGGTGTAGCAGCCTGCCTGGCACTTGGAGGGAGGAGCCCAGGTTGCAGCAGGAGGGCAGAGTTTGGAGGAGGCCCCAGGAAGGCAGTCTGTGTGCACATGGCTGGAATGTCAGCTGCACTGGTTGCACTGCTGGAAATAGTTCTCTTCATAGTTTAATTTTGTTTTACGAGCATGGAGGCCTCTCATATTATTACCCAGCATGTGGTACCTGAACCATATGGGGAGGCCTGTACGGGGTGCTATGGTGAGGAGTAGTGGAGTCCTGGACAGGCCATGCCTCCTTCTCTAGCAGGGAATTAATTCCCTGCCCTCAACTTGCCTGGGTGTCTCGCCTACTTTGTGCTGCTGCTCTGCCCACTCCCCTGCCTCGTGCTGGGAAGCAGCAGCTGGTGGACGGCGCTAGGAGGCCACTGTAGCCAGCGGCAGGGCAGAGCCAGTCCGGAGCCTGGGTCAGTTTCATGCAGAGCATGTGGGGACTCAGAAGCCCCCGCCTCTGGGCTCTCCAGGGCTTCTAGAAGGGACAGGGAAGAGCTAGCGAGCTGGGAGGTCCCTTTGGAGGGGCAGGAGTGGAGCCTTCTCACAGAGCAAGTATCTTGCCCGTAGGGACATTGAGCTCAGTGTCTAGATATGGGATTTACCAAGCCAGTGGCTGAGTCTGCGCTGGGTGCTGCCTTCTGACTGCTTCCTTTCCCCCTCTCCTCTAGCCTGCGAGTTGGGATTTTACAAGTCAGCCCCTGGTGACCAGCTGTGTGCAAAGTGCCCCCTGCACAGCTACTCAGAGAGCCGGGCTGCACAGGTGTGTCGCTGTGACAGCAGCTACTACCGGGCAGCACAAGATCCCCCGTCTGCTGCCTGCACGCGTAAGTACCTGCCCATCTGCCTCGGACTGCCCACCCCCTTTCCGCAGCACGCAGGGAACAGAACACGAATCAGCCTGGCTATAGCAGCAGAGGGAGATTCCCATGCAAGTGGGAAGGGCCAGAAGGTCGGTGGGGGAGTATCTGTCGGTGGGACAAGAGGGACCTCGGCACTACAGGGGTGAATGTGTTAGAAACGTCGGGCTGGAGTCCTGGCCCACTGGAGTCAGTGGGAGATTTGCCATGCTCTGTGCGTGTCTGGGACGAGCGCTGTGAGTGTACCTCAGGGGTGTTTGTGTTGTCCTGGAGGCATGTCTGCATTAGGATAAAGGTGTGCGTTTCAGTCAGTATAGCTCACATGTCAAAGCTACAATGTGCCTTGACTTCACAGGGATTTTAAAGCATGTAAACTGTCGTGTTTTAAACCCGTCTTTTTCTTAGTGTAGCTGGGGCCTGTCTCTCTGCATGTGAATGCCATGGATTCATAGATACAGAGATTCCCAGGCTAGAAAGGACCATTGTGATCATCTAGTCTGATCTCTTGTAACACAAACCAGAGAATTTCCCCCCAGGTCATTCCTAGAGCAGATCTTTTAGGGAAAAAAACCCAATCTTGGTTTAAAAGTTATCAGGGATGGAGAATACACTGCGAGCTTTGGTAAGCTGGTCCAATGCTTAATTACTCTCACTATTAAAAATTTACACCTTTTTTTCCATTCTGATTTTGTCTAGAGTTAACTTCCAGCCATTGGATCGTGTTAGACCTTTCTCGGCTAGACTGAAGAGCCCAGTATTAAATATTTATTCCCCATGTAATTACTTATAGACTGTGATCAAGTCACCCCTTAACGTTCTCTTTGTTAAGCTAAAGAGAGTGAGCTCTTGGAGTCTGTCACTGTCAGGCAGGTTTTCTAATCCTCCAATCGTTCTCATGGCTCTTTGAATCTTCTCCAATGTATCAACATCCTCCTTGAATTGTGGGCATCAGAACTGGACACAGGATTCCTGCAGCGGTCATGCCAATGCCAAATAAAGGGTAAAATAACCTCTCTGCTCCTACTCAAGATTCCCCTGTTTATGCATCCCAGAATCGCATTAGCCTTTTTGGCCACAGAGTGACACTGGAAGCTTGTGTTCAGCTGATTATCCATCATGACCCTCAAATATTTTTCAGAGTCCCTCACCCTGCCGTATGGCCTGCAGTCTGTGTTCTTAGAGCTATACAGTCACATTTAATCATGTTCAAATGCATGTTGTTTGCTTGCATCCAGCTTACCAAGGGATCCAGATCGCTTCATATTGGTGACCCGTCTTCATAATTATTTCCCACTCTCCCATTTTTTGCGTCATCTGCAAACTTTATCAGTGATGATTCTGTTTTGTTCCAGGTCACTGATAAAAATGTTTAAATAGCATAGGGCCAAAAACAGATCCTTGCGGGATTCCACTAGTAAAACACCCACTCAGCGATGATTCCCCATTTACAATTACATTTTGAGAACTATCAGTTTGCCAGCTTTTAATCCATTTAACATGTGCCGTGTTAGTTTTTTAATCAAAGCATTATGCAATACCAAGTCAAACATCTTATAGAAGTCTAAATATATTACATCAACACTATTACCTTTATAAACCAAATTTGTAATCTTTTTTTAAAAAAAGAGATCAAGTTAATTTGACAGGATCTATTTCCATAAACTTATGTTGATCAGCATTAATCATATTACCCTCCTTTAGTTCTTTATTAATTGAGTCTTGTTTCAGATGCTCCATTATCTTACCTGGAATTGATGTCAGGCTGACAGGCCTATAATTACCTAGGTCATCCCATTCACCCTTTTTAAATATTGGTACAACATTAGCTTTCTGCCAGTCTTGTATAACTTCCCTGGTGTTCAAAGACTTACAGAAAATCAACATGATTGGTCCACCCAGCTCCTCAGCCAGCTCTATTAAAACTCTTGGTTGCTGGTTTTCCGGACCTGCTGCTTTAAAAATGTCTAATGTTAGTAGCTACTGTTCAACGTCCTTCTGAAACACTAGTGGAATGGAAAGAATGTTATCATATGATATGACTACAGCATCTGTTTTATTCCAAATACAGAAAAGAAATATTTATTGAATGTTTCTGTCTTTTCTCCATTATTATTGATAATTCTACCATTTCCATCTAGTAACGGACCAATACCTTTGTTAGGATTCTTTTTGTTCCTAATATACTTTAAAACTCTTTCCTGTTTCATTTTCCCTGACTCATACCCTAAAGTGTTTGCTTTTGTCTCCATTCACGTCAGGATAAGAAGTGCTTTCCCACTCAGCTCATCCTGTCCTCTTTGCAATTCCGGTGCTGTCCAGGGAAGGTTTGGATGTGATCAGGAGTCCCTGAAATGTCGCTGTGGAATGCAGGCGGTTTTCATTCAGATTCTGCATGTGACATATCAGCGAACAGCACCCACTGAAGCAGCAGTCACATCAAACCCACTGCATGGCAGGACAGGCTCCCCCGGAGAGGCAGCCGGATTGCTGAGTGGCCTTGGTCAGTCTGTGACATGTTAGTGCTCAGACTGATCAAATGGGTGCAAGCCAGGCATGGGGCCGGCTGATGATGGGCAAACACCCCACACTGCTTTGCCAGCACATCTTCATCTGCAACCTGTGCCATGGGATGAAGTGATAGCTTGGGAGAGCCCAAGGGAAGTCCAACCCGTGGCTGGGAAGCCATTCTAGTGGCAGCAGAGAATGGTGTGAGTTACTGAGTAGGGGGTGTGCTCTCCCCTCAACTAGAGTCTGGCATGGGGGTGCTGTGGTGGAGGGTGGGTGACGGACTCTCTCCTCTGTGTCAATGCTGACCCTGGTGTTCCAACATGCTGCCAGGGGCTCCTGGATGGGAGGGAAAACAGAGGTTCTGCCTGAGACGTCTTGGCGTCCCCCTAAACCAGTGAAGGGTCCGTGAGCGCCTTCCTTGTAACAAACCAAATTAAGCTATTTAAGGATGCATCCCATAGACACCAGGAAATATCAGTGCACAGTGAAGAAACCCCTGGGCATCAGAAGAAGAAGATAAAGTGTGGTATAAATAACAGACTGGTCAACTCAACCTACTGTATATGGATAATTGAGTGTGCAATCGACTATAGACACATTATAAGGACGGATCACTACTCGGGCCAGGTCTAACTGTTATTTAAATTGTATATTATTAAGCAAAGTGAGTTCATGCATATACCTATAGTTTTAATTCTTTCTCAGTGAAATATGGTTAAATTTGGTTATTGTGTAAAAGCAAATATATCACTTCTGTATACTACTTTAATTAACATAATAGTACCTTATCAGGAATGCACAAAACTCGAGGGCTGGGCAAAAGACTAATCCATAGTCTGGAATCTACTGTTTTGAAAGATACCAAAATCTAGATGGAATTATTGGTTACATTTCAAGATTTTCTGAATCTGAATATCTATTTGATTTGCAATGTGCATACATTGCTGATCTGTTTAATCAGACACAAAGAAAGTTAACAAACTAATTGCAGCAAGTGATAAAGGCAAGGAAAAACCAGACTGGTAAAGACATTATTTTTACTGCTTATGGGAGTTACATGGTAACTACCACAACCAACTCATTAGGAAACATTGAAGAAGGAAAATTGCCTGACCTCATTAGTGATGAACAGCTAACTAGTATTGCCCTCAGCGTATAGTAAAAACTGCGGCTAACCGGCAGTGTGTTGAGTCATGTAGAGAAATTCCCTTTAAGTACCAGGCATAATTCGGGTTGAGTGACACAGTATCTTAATGGAGATAATGTGTTGTTAAAACAATCTTGCTCAGTGCCTGATTCCATGTACATTTCTTTTATAGTTTCACTACCAATATTGGAGCCTGACACAGGAATATTTAATAAATTGGTTACTGATCATTCAGTAGGTTATCTGGAAGACAGCATCTACAAGAAACAATTGGCTCTCCGTCAACTAGCAGTGTATCACGCAGCAATGCAAACCTGAAAAGCACCTCAGACAGCTTTCAGTAGTAGTTGTGTTAGTCTGTATCAGCAAAAAAATGAGTCCTTGTGGCACCTTAGAGACTAACAAATTTATTTGGGCATAAGCTTTCATGGGCTAAAACCTACTTCATCAGATGTATGAAGTAAAAAATACAGGAGCAGGTATAAATACATGAAAGGATGGGGGTTGCTTTACAAAGTGAGAGGTCAGGCTAACGAGATAAATCAATTAACAGCAGGATACCAAGGGAGGAAAAATCACTTTTGAAGTGGTAAGAGAGTGGCCCATTACAGACGGTTGACAAGAAGGTCGGAGTACAGTAGGGAGAAATTAGTATGGGGGAAATTAAGTTTAGGTTTTGTAATGACCCAACCATTCCCAGTCTTTATTCAGCCCAATCTGATGCCACAAGGACTCCTCATTTTTTTTGCTCACACAGCTTGTTCTGCCAAGGATGCTTTTGACATTTCAACTCGTGTGTGTGGTCACAATGGTTCAGCCCAGTATGAGACAGAGAAGCTGGCCACTACTCAGGAAAGCTTCCCAGCGGGTGCTAACCAGCAGGAAGGGTAACCTATAACATGGATGGACAGTACTGTGTAGTAACTAATTACAAGAAGTTTATATATGGAGGCCTCACTTGTAAAGTCACCACTCCGCATTTCTGTTTTATCCCTCAGTTACCTAGCACTGTGGGACACACTATAATCATGTCTATCCCAGTTTTCAAAATGTATCTATTATCCAAAGTGAGCACCAATGAAGTTAAAACTTACCTACCAGTTTTAATGTGCATATTAATCACTTTAAATTTAAAAACATTACTAGACAGAACCACACATTCCGATTAGCAGTGACACGCACAAGGCAGAACAAGCCTTGAAAAACCTTATTCATGATGGGGATCTTAAAATACTGATTTCCCACACCTGGATAGCAGTCGCATTTAAGGCTTTGCTTGTGTTACATGGTGTCTTACTTTTAGCTGTGATAATTATCTATTGCCACTTATGGAGTTTGTTAAAACACTTTAAATCACATATAAAGGCCCTCACCACTCATTCATTTGGAAAAGCTGTCGCCTTGACAATAACAATTATCAAGGCAACAAGTGGGGGCCCTGCTAAATAATATATGCTGGCTAGCATATAAATATACATCATATTAATAAAATGTATTATCTGCACCATACATATATGTATATTAGTATGCACTGAGCAATAACATTAAGCACAAATATTGTAACAGCAATATAGCCCAAACCAACCTATACAGTAATCCTGTTCACATATGCTCAGTATCCCATAACTCCTTGCATTTGCTGAAGTAAGCATTTGGCATAAACAGGTAGGAAACTTGTCAAAATCCAGAAACATCCATTCGTTCCATTTAGTACCAGCTAGGGAAGTATCTTCACGGCCCAGTACCTGGAAGGCTAGTATACAAAACAAAGCTAAGGGAGGGACAGAATAGCAGGTTAGGGAAGTGGGACAAACTGCTGGCTTAGACTGGAGTGACATGTAACTTGTAAAATCATCATATAAATAATACCAGCTGCGATGTGTGACTTGGGGAGTGCACCTTCTGCGCGAGGTGAATGTACCATCGCTGCATGAGGCTGCTCTTTGGAGACTGGTATTGTATAGAACCTTTTCCTGTACCAGATTAATAAACCTGATACATTGGTCATTTAGTCTCTTGAGTATACTTCATAACAAACCAAAGTGTGGTCAAGTAATTGACTCTGCAATTTATCAACAATCCTATTCTAGTCAGGTTCTCACACTGCATGGCTCCCTCAGATCAGCCTGTATCTGGTTGTGTTATTTCCTTCCCCCCCCCCCCCCCCCGCCACACACCCCCAGGGCATGGCACCCTCAGATCAGCCTGTATCTAGGTTGTTATTTCCTTCCCCACACACACACCCAGGGCATGTCAGTCACCCTCTAGTCAGCCAGTATCACTCTGTTCTCTCCCACGGATCACATCACCTTCCCATGGGCTTTTCTCCCCTCCCCCCCGCCCGAGCACAGCACCCCACCAATCTGGATGAATCTCTGCTTCCTTTCCAGGGCCCCCCTCTGCTCCTGTGAACCTGGTCTCCAGTGTGAATGGCACCTCGGTGACACTGGAGTGGGCTCCACCCCTGGACAAGGGGGGGCGCACTGATGTCACGTACAACGTGGTCTGCAGGCGCTGCACGTGGGACCTGGGCCAGTGCGAGGCGTGCGGCAGTGGGATCCGCTTTGTTCCCCAGCAGATGAGCCTGGGGCAGGCTGCCCTCACCGTGGCCAACCTCATGGCCCACATGAACTACTCCTTCTGGGTGGAAGCTGTCAACGGCGTGTCCGACCTCAGCCTGGAGCCCAAGAGATTTGCCGTTGTCAACATCACCACGAACCAGGCAGGTAGGAGGAGCAGATACCCCCAGGAGGCTCGGCCCACGGCAACTGATGTGAACAGCTCCCCGCTGGGCCCAGCTGGACCCTCTCCCAAGGGGGTCAGCGTTTGCCTAAAGGCCCCCCGAGGGATCTGAGTCCGCCCTGGCTTTCCCTACGCTCAGAAGGAGAATTAGCTGCGATCACTGTGTGTGGGGCCTGTGGCAAATGCTGGCTTGCCATGGTGACCATGGTAGCTCCCAGATAGGCATCTGTGAGAAATGGCCCTTGTCTCCTCAGCTGGCATGGCAGCGGCACTGGGGAGACGGGGCTGTCTGGGGCTCACCGCTGAGCCGCCGTCTGCAGACGCACGCTTTGAGCGAGCGAGGAATTAATCTTCTTCGGTTCGCTTTCAGCCCGTCACATTCCGCTTCGTCGCCACCTCCCCAACACCCTGGCCGTTCAGCTGTGGCCTCACGCTGGGCTGCTCCAGTTCCACAGGAGGCCGGGGCGCACCGGACATTTGTTTATTGACAAGGAACACTAAGTGGAGCATGAACTCCTAGCTCTGCTCCTCCCCTCCCTTCCCAAAGGGCCACGCAAAAGTTCATGCTCCGTCTAGTGCTCCTTTCCCATCTCACACAAGGGCCAGCACCTGGCAGGTGCCTGTGTTGTTTGCTTGGGAAAGTCTCTCTCAGGCATATCTTGTCTTTTCCAATCCCTTGCTGAGAAACAGCCTCTTTCCCCAGGAAGCAGTTCCCCACTTCGGCCCAGAGCAGGACCTTGGGGGTCCCTCTCCAGTGCAGGGACCGGCTCTTCCAGCTGTGCTGGAACAAGCCCAGGGAACGTTACATGATGAGGCACCTCAGGGCTTGCCTACGCTTACAGCACTGCTGAAGTGCTTGGTGGAGACGCTCCCTATGCCGACAGAGAGCTCCCATCAGCACAGGTACTCCACCTCCCCCAGAGAAGCCCTCCCATCTACACAGCCCCGGGGCTAGATTGGTACAACTACGTCGTTCAGAGATCCACCCCCCCGACCGACGTAGTTATACAGATGTAAGTCGGTAGGATAAACCAGGGCTCATTCTGCTCTCGTGTACAAGTGTCAATCGGGAATAACTCCAGAGAAGGCAAGGGAGTTGCCTGGGTCAGCTCATAATAAGGAAGAGAGGAACAAGGCTTTTTATTGCAAACTGTCTCCTGCAGCTGCCCAGGCTCCCAACTGACCCCCCGGAGGACATTCCCCCCTCCCCCTGCCCCTCCTGCCGGCCCCGCCCCAGCCTTATCACACCGATGCTAAGGGGACGGGCACTAAATGCCTGCAATGGCTGGCTGCATAGACAGATATTGAATGCTCCCTAGTTAGTTTTTCTCGTAGGACAGGTGCAGCTGGGAGCAGCAGAAGCAGGCTGGTTGGAAAGAACAGAGGTTTAGCCGTGTGGCTGGAGGTGTTTAAAGGGATGCTGCAATGTAAAAGAGGCACCAACCTGCAAAGCGGAGAGACGTGGTCAGTGCGATAGTCAATGGTCGTTCTCAGTCATCCCGACAGCTCCACCACTCAGAGCACCACTCCGGAGAGGGGCCAGATGGGAACTGCCGGATAGACCATACTCTCTGGACTGACTAGGCCCAGTCAATCAATCTTGACTGAGCTCTCCGGGGAATCTCACCGATCCCTGGAGTTCAGGAGTGCCAGGGATTGCTGTGGAGTGCGGAGCCTCAGTGCTCTGCCCGTGGGGATTGCCTTGACGACTGTTCCCTTCTGTTGTGCCCAGCAGGGCTTCCTGGGGCTGGGCCACCTTCCCCACGGCCTCTGTCTTCACTAGGGATTCTGACCTTGCATCGCTTCCAGTTAGTTAATATGGTCACACGGGCCAGTCTGGACGCTCCCTGAATGTTCCCCAAGGCCTGTCTACACATAGTTTCCGTGCTGCTTTAACTGTACTGTGATCTAACCCAATCCAGTGGTAGCGGTTCAAAAGCTGGGAGTTGGGCAGCTCATTGGCTGATCCCTGGGGTCAACCTTATGGCCAGGAAGAAACATGTGGGGAGTGTCCCCAGGAGCTTTGACAAAGGCATTAGCTGCACAGACTTGTTCTTTGTGTGTGCATTAGAGCAAGAGGCACCAAGCAGCCCAGTCGAAACATGCGCTTTACTGCAGCACAGCAGACTGTGGCTAGTTGAGGCCCCACCTGGGATTGACCTCCATGAGCGACAGTGCGGTAAAAACGACAGCGCCTTGTCTCCACGGGAATAGCGCAGCCAGTGCTCCCTGGAGTTACCATTTCAGTGCCCAAACACCACAGGCCCCATCCACGCCTGTATTCTGCCTCCAGCAGGGGCTGCAAGTTGAGGCTTCAGAAAATGGCAAGACCCTTTCCCTGTAATGAACCAGCCAATTGGGCAATGCTACAGGTGGGTGAACTATCCCTTCCTGGCCCCTGCTCGGAGCCTGCATAGTTATAATGTTAATGCTGATCGTCATGCAGTTCTCTGGCCTTTTATCTGTCTGCTGAAAGCCTGGGGCCGGGAATCCCACCGGCAGATCCAGGCGGGGTGAGGAGGTTTCCCTTTGTTTGATCTCAGTTCCCCAGCCTTTGCAGTGATGCCATGGGACAGTGCTTCCCGGGGGCACAGACCATAAGGCGGCCGGGCCTCTTGGGTAACCAGTGTTATGATGCATCCTGGTCCATAGCTAAACCACTAATGCAGCTCCCCTGCAGCTGCACTGAGGGGTGTGTGTGTGTGTGTGTGTGTAATGTTACTGCTCACCCCCCACCACCCGTAAAACTGGAATATTCCATTATGACTACCGATCCTCCCACCTGGCACACCAATAGGGCATTCCATTATTGCTGCCCCGAAAAATGGAATATTCTATTGCTATCCACCCATCCACCCAACAAAACAATGGGGTGGTCCATTATTGTTGCCCCCCCACCAACTGAAAAAATGGAATATCCCATTCTCGCTCTTCCACCCACCCAGCATAACAAGGGTAGTACATTATCATTGTCCCCATGCACCCACGGTAACACATCGTCTCTGGATCACCGCATGCGAGCCCCTCCTCGGGGAGAGGATTTCGGCGAGCAGGGGGCCCTGTAATCTAGCCGGCAAAGGCACAGCAAGGTCCGGTGTCTGGAAGCTGAAGCTAGATACATTCAACGTGGAAATGGGTTAATTAAGCCCTGGAACAGCTTGCCTGGGGATGTGGTGGATTCTCTGTCATTTGGGGTCTTTAAATCGAGAGTGGACATCTCTTATCTCAGTGCTCTGGGCTGGATGCAGGAGCCCTAGGTGGGGGTCTCTGGCCTGGGCTATGCAGGTCAGACTGGATGATCAGAATGGTCCATCCACCCACAATGACCGTGGAGTCTTTCATTGGTGCGCTCTCCCTCTGTGACAGTGGCATGTTCCATTGTGCCTCCCGGCATCCATCCACAACGATGGAGTGAAAAGATCGGCAGCAGCAGTGAGTGTGCCCGGGGCCCGAGGATGCCAGCTGTGCCGGTGTGGGGCTCTCCCTGCCACTGGCACATAGCCTGGCCTGGCCGATGATTAGCTAGACAGACTTGAAAAGGAAATCAATCACTCTGAGCCCAGCTGGGCTCTTCTGCGCTCTGGTGCCGTGGCCTGGGCTGGCAAGGGTGTAACTGGGGCCCCATTGACCAGAAAGGTTTGTGAATCTGCTCTACCTTTGTGAACCCAAAACAGAGAGAGCAGCGCCCACGGCCTGGGACAGCAAGAGGTTGCTGCCCCTCCTCGCTAGGGAGCAGAATGGAGTTCTGGGACAGATTGTGCTTTAATGTGGGGGAGTCTGACGAGTCAGTGCTGTGCCGGGGCCCCGGGCAACTGGACAGCAAGGCCCTGCTCTCGGGGAAGGTGCTAGACAGCTGGGCTGCCCTCTGAGCGTTTGCCTAGGGACCCCAAGCTTGGGGCAATGGCTGGCCTCTGAACAGGCTCCGGAAGTGCCCGAGATCCAGGGATTCCCAGTCTGCAGCATGGCTCGCTCTCTCACTGGAGACAAGTCCCGTTTCTGATGTTCTGTCATCTGCATTCTCAGCCCCATCCCAGGTGGTGGTGCTTCGCCAGGAGAGCACGGGTCAGAACAGTGTCACGCTGCTGTGGCATGAGCCGGACCAACCCAACGGCATCATCCTGGAGTACGAGGTCAAGTACTACGAGAAGGTAACAGCGATTTGCTGGCCCAGCCCCCGCCTCCTGGCCAGGGTGCATTAAGCCAGGGTTATAGCTTAGGCATGATGTAATTACTGTTACCAGCCAGACACATCGAGAGGGTTACTGCCAGGCTCTCCCCAGTCCCTGCGCTGTCTCGGTGAGATCTTTGCCTTGCTCTCCAACAGGACAAGGAAATGCAGAGTTACTCCACGCTAAAATCCAAAGGCACAAGTGCGACTGTCTCTGGGCTCAAGCCTGCAACCCGCTACATCTTCCAGGTTCGGGCCCGGACCTCTGCTGGCTGTGGGAGGTTCAGCCAGATGGTGGAGGTGGAGACCGGGAAAGCAAGTGAGTGCACGAGAGGATGAGGATGGGGAGAGAGCGGACGTGTGTGCATGGGCACGAGGGTTAAAGTGCAGCACCCA